TCTAGATCCAGTTTTGTTCGGTAGGTCCCCTCCTTAACACTGTTCTCCCAAACATGGCGCCCCAAAAAGGCATCCTAAACAATGGGGGGGGGGGGCAAAAATCAGTGGTTTCCTTTTGGTCTTTGTGCTAAGCTTAAACCATCAAGGTTTAAGTACCCTCAAGAGAAAGGCACCCATTGTCCCCGTTCTCAGGTGAGAACTTGCTGCTGACTGCCATGGATCGTTTCCGCAAGCTTGAGGACGTCATCTCGATACTAGAGCTTTCAGCTGACCACTTCGCATCAGCAGAACTTGCGGTACTACTTCCCCCTTGGAAGGCTGAAGACTACAACGTGCAACGTGCGGCCTAGGAAGATTTGATGTTGGATTTGGAAGATTGCGGAAGCCACTGAGGGCCAAAGTTGGTCTCTTAGGTGATGTGGGGATGGGAGTTGATGCGCCCAAGATTCCCAACAAATGATATACAGTTCGGCAGCCGGTGGTGAATGGCATGTGCTGTTCCAGATCCACTGGAGTGACGCCTCGCGCCCTTGCAAAGCTGCGCAGAAAGAGGCGCTTTGTAGTGGCGGCTGCCAACCAGATGTTGCAGCATCTCTCCGATGGCTTCATGAGGCAATGTCTACCATTTCTTTGAAGCTCCCAGCCGGTAGACATGCTGATGTATCTACTTAATCATGTATATACATATATATATATACACACGCATACATATGAATCTCTCTCTCTCTCTCTCTCTCTCTCTCTCTCTCTATATATATATATATTTGGCCCCAAATTTTATAGGGGAACCAACACAAAGTGGCTAGTGGACGCGACATCCCCACCTAAATGATGACCACTCAAACATCAACATGAAACACTCAAAAACACCTATGTACTACTATTCCTGGGAGTTTGCGCATTGACCTGGCAAGGCAGCTTGTTGACGATTGGAAAGATTGCGCGGCAAGCCATCACCTTGGGAAGCTGTGGTCACATATTTGGAAGGTATGGCTTGCTGCTTCTCCAACGGCAGGGATCGGCCAGCGCGACCAGAAACGTAGGCTTTGGGTGTTTACACACCTCAGCCCAACCCCCTCAAGATCCTGCCGAAGTGTCCCATACTTCCCGGCCCGTGGAGTCGCAAGGAGTAGTCTCCAAGAAAGCAAAGGACAATGCTGAGTCACTCACTCACTCATTGCAGCTGGAAGAAAAGTGCAAAGAGTAGTTTCCAAGAAGCCCGGGAGGGAGGCTCCCCAAAAACTCCCGGGCCAACCCACGTGCCACGTGCGCAGCTTCAGGTCAAATGGCATGCCCGCGGAACCAAGGGCTCGCGCCGCTGAGAGTCTGAGAGAGCGAGCCCCTCAACGGAAAAAGGCGCTTGCTTCGCCAGTGGCTTGGTCGAGATGTATCTCCAATTCCGAAAATGGATGGTTTCTCTTTAGGTCCTTGAACCAACATAACTATCAAGAGTTTGGTCAAATGGGTTGTTTCTCTTGAGTTTCTTTCCTCTTCAACCAACCCCATTGAGCGCCATTTCCTGTCCATGTTTCATTTGGGAGGGACATGGGGGCACCTACACAAATCATGGAACTTTTCGGTTTGTGGTCTGGATTTTGGCAGCTTTGATCTGTGTTGTGAGGGCTTAGCAAGATAGAATGCCGTTTTGCGGCACTAGAGACAGTTTTAGTCGTGCGTACAGTTACAAGCTCCACACGATTGTAGGAGTAGACTAGTGGTTTTTGACCCCTCATATAGGAGTCTCTCCAAAATGGCGATAACCCCTTCTGCTTCGTGTTTAAAGGGACACAGCAAGACACCCTTGCCATAAAGCCACATTCCGAGCTTGCGAGCGCGTTCGCAAGCGTTTTTCGCAATGGCTAACCATCTCAGACAGTCCAGGGGTTTTCTTTTTCAGGAGGAAGGGTCCCCGAATTCTTCTCCGGAGCCTCGGCTCGAGACTTGGAGCCGAGCTTCAGAGCCCCAGAGGCAGGGGCGAGGACCTGGCAATGCAACGCAAGCGACGCAGCCAGGGCAGCCAATACTTCGCAAAACTTTTGCTCCAGAGAGTTTTTTGGTTTGGCGCCCGGCTTCGCCTTTCTTTTTCCTGGCTTCCAACACCCGGAGATGTGAGATGTGCCAGGGGAAGTGTTACTGATGGACAAAAACCACTTCGCAGTTGGGATGGATGAAGCCCGATTTGGCCATGGGTCAAAATCCTGTACCCCCAGTGAACATCCCAATCCCCATTAAAATAGACTAAAATGGGTGGTGCAGCTACCCCAAAATAGTACCAATGGTTTTGACCCACAGCGATTTGAAGACTGGCATAAACCGCCCACCAACTGGTGGGCTTTGTCCATGGACGGCCAGGGGGATGTCGATGCACATGGACTCGGGGGCCTTGTCCCCGATGTCCCAGGAGATGATTGCCGGCTTACGAAAGACGTGTGGGTGTGGGTCAAAACCTAACATGCCTTTTCTTGGGATGGTTACCACTCCGCTGTTGTCTTTTTAGAAAGCTTGCTGGGCACCGGGGCACCGGGGTTTTGACCCACAGCCATGTGTGTGTCTCTGTGTGTGTCTGTGTGTCTCTGTGTGTGTCTGTGTGTCTCTGTGTGTCTGTGTGTCTCTGTGTGTCTCTGTGTGTCTCTGTGTGTGTCTGTGTGTCTCTGTGTGTGTCTGTGTGTCTGTGTGTCTCTGTGTGTGTCTGTGTGTCTCTGTGTGTCTCTGTGTGTGTCTGTGTGTCTCTGTGTGTCTGTGTGTCTCTGTTTGTGTCTGTGTGTCTCTGTGTGTCTCTGTGTGTGTCTGTGTGTCTCTGTGTGTGTCTGTGTGTCTCTGTGTGTCTGTGTGTCTCTGTTTGTGTCTGTGTGTGTCTCTGTTTGTGTCTGTGTGTGTCTCTGTGTGTGTCTGTGTGTCTCTGTGTGTGTCTGTGTGTTTGTGTGTCTCTGTGTGTGTCTGTGTGTCTCTGTGTGTGTCTGTGTGTGTCTGTGTGTCTCTGTGTGTCTCTGTGTGTGTCTGTGTGTCTCTGTGTGTGTCTGTGTGTCTCTGTGTGTCTGTGTGTCTCTGTTTGTGTCTGTGTGTATCTCTGTGTGTCTGTGTGTCTCTGTGTGTGTCTGTGTGTCTCTGTGTGTCTCTGTGTGTCTCTGTGTGTCTCTGTGTGTGTCTGTGTGTCTCTGTGAGTGTCTGTGTGTCTCTGTGTGTCTCTGTGTGTGTCTGTGTGTCTCTGTGTGTGTCTGTGTGTCTCTGTGTGTCTGTGTGTCTGTGTGTCTGTTTGTGTCTCTGTGTGTCTCTGTGTGTGTCTGTGTGTCTCTGTGTGTGTCTGTGTGTCTCTGTGTGTCTGTGTGTCTCTGTTTGTGTCTGTGTGTGTCTCTGTGTGTCTGTGTGTCTCTGTGTGTGTCTGTGTGTCTCTGTGTGTCTCTGTGTGTCTCTGTGTGTCTCTGTGTGTCTGTGTGTCTCTGTGTGTCTCTGTGTGTCTCTGTGTGTCTGTGTGTCTCTGTGTGTCTCTGTGTGTCTCTGTGTGTCTCTGTGTGTCTCTGTGTGTCTCTGTGTGTCTGTGTGTCTCTGTGTGTCTCTGTGTGTCTCTGTGTGTCTGTGTGTCTGTGTGTGTGTCTGTGTGTCTCTGTGTGTCTCTGTGTCTGTGTGTCTCTGTGTGTGTCTGTGTGTGTCTGTGTGTCTCTGTGTGTCTCTGTGTGTGTCTGTGTGTCTCTGTGTGTGTCTGTGTGTCTGTGTGTCTGTGTGTCTCTGTTTGTGTCTGTGTGTATCTCTGTGTGTCTGTGTGTCTCTGTGTGTGTCTGTGTGTCTCTGTGTGTCTCTGTGTGTGTCTGTGTGTCTCTGTGTGTGTCTGTGTGTCTCTGTGTGTCTGTGTGTCTCTGTTTGTGTCTGTGTGTGTCTCTGTGTCTGTGTGTCTCTGTGTGTGTCTGTGTGTCTCTGTGTGTCTCTGTGTGTCTCTGTGTCTCTGTGTGTCTGTGTGTCTGTGTGTGTCTCTGTGTGTCTCTGTGTGTCTCTGTTTGTGTCTATGTGTCTCTGTGTGTCTGTGTGTCTGTGTGTCTGTGTGTCTGTGTGTCTGTGTGTCTGTGTGTCTGTGTGTCTGTGTGTCTCTGTGTCTCTGTGTGTCTGTGTGTCTGTGTGTCTGTTTGTGTCTCTGTGTGTCTCTGTGTGTCTCTGTTTGTGTCTGTGTGTCTCTGTGTGTCTGTGTGTCTCTGTGTGTCTGTGTGTCTGTGTGTCTGTGTGTCTGTGTGTCTCTGTGTGTGTCTCTGTGTCTCTGTGTGTCTGTGTGTGTGTGTGTGTTTTTGGGGACCCCAAAGATGGTGGCTTTCGGTTTCTCTTTAACCCCCCCTCCGAAAAGGGATGCCCTCAGAATTTAAGCCAGCATCCAACCCAAACACCAATGGGATACATCTGCTCGTGTTTCACAAATTGTCCAACAACCGGAGACCATGTCTGCTCAGACAAATCAAGCTGCCAAGAGTCAAGGACAAGGCATTGCCTTGCATGGAATGAAAAGAAGGAGGACCAACCAATTGGGTGACCAACTGTTGTCGTCAAATCTTGTTGCAGCTGTGTGTTCCATGTCATGGACTAACCCCCCCCCAAAATGGCGGACCACCTCATCAGAATCTGAACGCAACTCCCGCTTCAGAAGCTTTATTTAAGGGCTGCCGCCCAGTGCCGCCGACCCCAGTTTGCGGTCAGGGAGCTCTTCAGACGGACAAATGTCAGCACAAAAAATCGTGTATGTATGTATGTATGTATGTATGCATGTATGCATGTATGCATGCATGTATGTATGTATGTATGTATGCATGTTTGTATGTTTGTATGCATGCATGTATGTATGTATGTATGTATGTATGTATGTATGTATGTATGTATGTATGTATGTATGTATGTATGTATGTATGTATGTATGTATGTATGTATGTATGTATGTATGTATGTATGTATGTATGTATGTATGTATGTATGTATGTATGTATGTATGTATGTATGTATGTATGTATGTATGTATGTATGTATGT